TCAGGGACTATGTAAATGGATTTTTATATTTAGTGGAAAATGAATTTGCTGACTTGACATTCATTCATCATACCTCCCTGCATTCTTCTCCCTTATATGCATGCTCTCCCTTATACATACTTACAAGTTTTCTCCTGTCCTTTCCTGTTAGTCTCTTCTCTCTTTTGAATTGATATTATCACTTCTTGCCAATGACTTTTCACATAGAGATTGTCAATCAGTTTTGTTTTTAATCTTTGAATAAGAATAAATACTTATTTTTTTTAAAACAGGCACTTTTTGTTTTTATGGCATTATCCTTTGCCCGTGATGAAATTATCTGGCTACTTCGTCATGCAGATAACATGCCAAAGAAGAGTGCAGACGACTTTATAGATAAGTAAGTTAGCAACATTTAAAAAATTATTTTCTCTATATAGATGCTTCTTGATTTACAATGGGATTATGTCCTGATAAACCCAGTGAAAGTTGAAAATATTGTTAAGTTGAAATGCATTTAGTACACCTAATCTACTGAATGTTGGAGCTTAGCCTAGCCTACCTTAAATGTGCTCAGAATACTTTTATTAGCCTACAGTTGGGCAAATTTATCTGGCAACATAGTACACTGGTTGTCTATCTTTCTGATCACATAGTTGACTGGGAACTATGGCAGCATCATGATAGAATATCATACTGTCTATTGCTAGCCTGGGAATAAAAGCCAAAATTCAAAGTACAGTTTGTGCTAAATGTGTATCATTTTTGCACCATTGTAAAGTAGAAAGATAGTATGTCCAAACCATTGTAAGTTGTGCACCATCTGTATTCTGATTTATGGGCTCTGGAATCTGGAGACTTATATTTGAAGCAAAATTATTTTGTACAACTTGGAATATTTGTAATATATCATTAGATGATATTAATTAGAATGCAAAGTCAACTTTAGTTTTAAATCAGGGCTTTTTTCTTGTAGTATGCTTCATGGTGATAAAGTTTTTGCTTTCTTGCTATGCTCAGTAATATTTCTTATGGAATTCATTTTTCAAAACTATTTGCTACACAAAACATTTAAATAAAAATCCTGTTTATAGAGTTGAAACTCAGTGTGTCATTAAAATGTCTTCGTCTTATTTTAGTTCAGTCTCTTGATAGGAGTTAAAAAAATGGAGCAGAGAAATAAGATCATACAGAAAAATCTTGTTTCTTGCTAATCCTCTTTTGACATTTTTTTGATGTATTTATAAGATATCCTGTTTATTTTTTAAATTTATTTATTTATTTATTTATTTTTTGAGTTGGAGTTTTACTCTGCCACCCAGGCTGGAGTGCAGTGATGCCATCTCGGCTCACTGAAACCTCAGCCTCCTGAGTTCAAGTGATTCTCCTGTCTCAGCCTCCCAAGTAGCTGGGATTATAGGCACCTACCACCATGCCCAGCTAATTTTTGTATTTTAGTAGAGACAGGATTTTACTATGTTCGCCAGGCTGGTCTTGAACCCTTGACCTCAGGTGATCAGCCCACCTTGGCCTCCCAAGGTACTGTGATTACAGTTGTGAGCCACTGTGCCCAGCCCTGTTTATTTTCAGTTTGGATTTTCTGCTATCCATTTTTAGCCTTAGTTTTTTTTTTTTCTTTGCTTTTTGTGATTTCTTTATTCATATGAAATAATTTAAAAAGGAAATAATTGACACTAAATATTGATGCCCTTTGTAAGAAAAAAAATCCTTTTAGAAATGAGATCAAGGGTATCGAATATATTCTTTAATAATGATGAATTTATCATTTTAAATTTTTTTCTTGAAATTTAAAAAAAGGCACATTGCTGAATTAATATTTTACATGGAAGAGCTTAGAGCACATGTGAGAAAATATGGACCTGTTATGCAAAGATATTATGTGCAGTACCTTTCTGGCTTTGATGCTGTTGTCCTCAATGAACTTGTGCAGGTAAAAACTATCTTATATTTGTTCCTTCCCTCCCACCGTTGATAGTATTTGATTTGTTTGTTCAACAAGCATTTATAAAATATTATGTGCCAAGCAGTGGATAAATCATGTTTATATTTTGTCAAGGAGATCATTGCCTAGAAGGGAGGAAACAATTGTAGTCCAGTGTGATAGGTGTTGGGCATTAAGTGTACGGGTATTGATCGACTTACCACCTATGTAACTTACGACCATTTGACTTTGCGACCACAATTGCTAGCCACGACTGCTCCGCGTCTGGCAGCACAAACGTTGCCCGGCTGTGTGTACGACAGTGCGGACCAGCTTCCGGCAGCACTACCATCTCCACATGCACCATTTCAACTGTACATATAGCCTACTCAACTTATGACCAAATCATGTTATGACCGGTCCGCGGTCCCGACCGTGGCCGTAAGCCGAGCACTAGCTGTATATAAAATGCTCAGAGTGAACACAGGGAAGGAAACGATTATTTATCCTGAAGGTGGAGATATATACTAACCAAATTATAGAGGGCCTTGGGAAAGAGGAGGTTATTCATGAATCAGTTGTACTGCTTAGAAAGATCACCCTGGTTCAGTGTGGATGATACTGGCAACGAAGGGAAGAGGCAGAGAGACGAAAAGAAAAGTGACTGCAGTAGGCTAGGTGAAAGGTGATGAGAGCCGACACTTGGGCAGCAGCTATGGAGATACAGAAGACATGATAGAGACAATATAATTGGTAATTAAGTATTAGAGGGAAAGTGGAATAAAAATCTTTTTGAAGAAAATTGTTAGAGGATGGGCAGTAAATAAAGATTTTATATAGATGTTCTAATTTAAATGTAAATTTTTATCCTTAATTGGTTTGTTAGCCTTTGTTTTGCTTTCCATAATTTATTTATTCAGTCTTCTTCATCTTTATTTAAATTTTAAAGATTTTATTCCAAATAAACTGACCCTCAGGAAATAGTATTTTATTTTCCTTCACTTTATAAAATTACATGATTCAAATGACTCTAAGCTAATACATGGTGTAAAGAAAGAACAGCTAATAATCCTCTTTATATAAAGACTACTCTAAAGCTGCTAGTTTTCCAGTTAAATAACAATACTTTGAAGTTCTCCTTTTTTTCAAATCAACCTAAAAATATAGATCAGGAAAGAAATTGTTTATATAATTTTTTTACCTTGAATTATATATGTATTGTTACAGGATGTTATTATAAACTATGTAGGTTATTTCTTCTTTTATCCACTAGATGGAGCTCAGATACTTCCTTTCTGTGGTCATTAAGTATAGTATTATTGCCTTGCTATAATTTTATTTGAATAGTTATTAACAGATAAACCAGAAGCTTTTGTTACTGTTTATTATTTATTCATACTAGCATACAGTTTAAAAAGTAAACCAGAATTCCTGAGTCACTTAATTTATTTTCATATAAAGTAGAGTGTACTAGTACTGAGAAAATTATTTCTTAGCATTTCTTCTGAGATTATAGTAATAGTATAGTATCATAGGCAATAATAATACTGATACTAGTAATTGCCAGATTTATTGATAGTGTATCTTAGCAAATCTGTAGAATACTTCTGCAAGAGTGGATATAGTTATCATTATTTGTTGAAGAAGAAATGCCTTATGTAATTTGCTCAGTATCACACGCTCATAAGTAATAAAGCCAGTAGTCAAACCTAAGTTTTAACTCCAAAGCCTGAGCATTTTACCACCCTATTCTGTTGCAAAGTATATTCACAATGTTTTTCACCATTTGCTAGCATATAAATTTAGAACTAAAGTTGTAAATCTGTTAGCAGAGTTGATTACAATAGGCATTAATATTTTATTGTGGTAAAATGTATGTAACAATATTTACTATTGTCATGATTTTTAAGTGAAATATGTTTAATGATATGTACATTCACATCATAATGTTTTGAAAATGTGTTTTATTTATGCTGTTTGTAAGCTAAGCATCCACTTTTTAAAAGGAATTTATTATTATTTTTTCTTGCTTTTTCTTATTTGTCTTTAAAGGAATTTATTTTTAACATGCACTTTAGTTACAGTTTATCAAATATTCATTTTTTTTAGCCAGGTTGAAGGGTTTTTAGGTCTTAATTTTGTTGAGGGCTAACATAAACACAACAAAAAACACTCATTTTTAGTGCATGTTGTAAATTTTGGTAACTGTGTACGTTTGTGCAATTACTACCAACACCACATTCAAGACAACTTTTCCAACACCTTTAGAAGTTTGCTTATGGCACACCTTCATTTTTTGCTAAGCCCTTGACAGCAAGTGGTATTTGTCACTATCCTTTTGCCTTAAAAAATATTTTTTCATATAAATTTTCCTATATAGTGTATAAAAAAAGCACTTTTTTACACATAATCTTTATTTCTTTCACTTAACCTAATGGTTTTGAGATTCATGTTACGGTGTACGTTAAAATTTTATTTCTTTTTATTACTGAAAGATACTCCATAGTATGGATATACCAGCTTATCAGTCCACTAATTGATAGACCTGAGTTGTTTCCCAACTAGATGTTTTTAATATTACTTTGTGTTTGTTTTTCAGAATCTTTCTGTTTGCCCTGAAGATGAATCAATCATCATGTCCTCTTTTGTTAACACTATGACTTCCCTAAGTGTAAAACAAGGTAATAAGTCTTTTAAATAAAAGCATATTTTCTTCTAATTAGATTTTCAAACTTGATTATTAAGGAGAGAATTTACCAATTAATTTGGCTAATGATCTGTTATCTTTTGTCTTAATATTGTTCTCTGAAGCAAAGATTTCCAAAATGCGTTTGTGATGCTATTTACAAAAATTATAGTTTGATATTTCTAATTATTAAGCAGGAAGGACTGCATTTTGTAGTAAGTCATATATTTGATCCAGGCATACCAATAACAATATTTAATGCCGTTTATAAACTATTTAGTCTGTGCCAGGCACTTTATATGTTTATTATCCCATTAACGCCACATTCCTTTTTAAACACTATTATTACTTTTGACAGATTGGAATCTCTGGATTTGAGGATTAACCTCTCAGTTACTGAACATAATTTGCCAAGCACTAATAGCTATTAAGCAAGATTAGGAATTTGAGCTCAAATCTGTCAATCTAAAAAATTGATGTCGTGTAATCAATCACCTTGCCATTATTTGAATACTCCATTCTAGTGGATTGATAGTATGTTTTAGTTTTTAGTCTTCTAATAAAAGATATCAGAAACCTTGAAAACTTGTGAGCAATAAATATATAAACAGTTTTCTTAGTTCAGTCTTTATAGCTACCACATTTAAGTAATGAAACTACAATAATTTTGTCTGGTCATATTTGGTTTATATAGAGTTATTTTGTTGAGTATTTTGTTTATATAGAGTTATTTTGTTATATAGAGTTATTTTGTTTATATATAGTTATTTTGCATGCTGTCCAAAGTTTCTATTCATAGGCTCTCTCAAATTCTTTTCTGCCTCCTTCAAATTGACGTGTAAGCACACTGAGAATCAGAGAGCTTAGGAGAGAAGCCCTTACTTCCTTAGCACACTTTATCATCATCTTTACAGGATTTGAGAATTGTTTCACTGTCTTCACTCTTACATTTTAAAATGTTTTTATTATTTAATTGTAAAATACACATAAAATTGACCATCTTAACCATTTTTGAGTGTATAGTTCAGTAGTGTTACGTATATTCATATTGTTGTACAACGAATCTCCAAAACATTTTCATCTTGCAAAACAAATTCTTTTAATGGTTGTTGAACAACACCCCATTTCCCTTTCCTGCTAGCTCCCTGCAACCTCCATTCTGCTTTCTGTTTCTATAAGCATGACTACTCTTGATACCTTATTTAAGTGGAATCACAGAGTATTTGTCTTTCTGTGACTCGTTAATTTCACTAGGTATGATGTCCTCAAGTTCAGCCATAGTAGCATGTGTCAGAATTTCCTTCCTTTTTTAGGCAGAATGATAGTCCATGATATTTATTTATTTTATTTTATTTTTTGAGACCGAGCCTTGCTCTGTTTCCCAGACTGGAGTGCAGTGGTTTAATCTCTGCTCACTGTAACCTCCACCTCCAGGGTTCAAGTGATTCTTCTGCCTCAGTCTCCCAAGTAGCTGGGACTATAGGCACATACCACCATACTCAGCTAATTTTTGTATTTTTAGTAGAGACGGAGTTTCGCCATGTTTGCCAGTCTAGTCTCTAACTCCTGACCTTAGGTGATCCACCTGCCTTGGCCTCCCAAAGTGTTGAGAATATGGGCATGAGCCTCTGCACCTGGCCTCCATTGTATTTAGATGCTACATTTTGTTTATTCATTCGTCAGCGGAAACTTAAGTTGCTTCTACCTTTGACTATTTTGAATAATTTTTCTATGAGCATAGGTATACAGATATCTCTTTAAGACCCTGGCTTTAATTCTTTATACTCAGAAGTAGAATTGTCTTAGCTCTTAAAATTTAAAATGTTCTTATAGATTTGTGAAAATATTAATTTGCTTTATAATTTTTTTTTTTTTCTGTTACTACAGTTGAAGATGGGGAAGTATTTGATTTCAGAGGAATGAGATTAGATTGGTTTAGGTTACAGGTAAGAATAACTTTTTGTTGTCATTCTGTTTTGTTATTTTAGTTAACATGAAAAATTTTGTGACAGAAGTATAAAATATTCATTGTTATATACCTATCGAAAAGATTTCTTTTGCATACTTAACCATAAAAGAAATATTTTGTACTAGTTATTAAACTTGGATAAATATATTTATAACTTAAGCCAATATATGAGTTTTTGAATAGATTATTATAATTTTAAAATATCTGAAAATTTAAATCCCAATCTATCTCTTGATTATCCTGATTCAAATATTTAATTCCAAAGTGAAAACACAAAATCTTCTCTGAGAAAATATTTAAGATCTACTGTGGGCACCAGCAAACTTTTTTTAATACAGACTGTTGATAAAAATTTTAGGCTTGCAGCCATGTCATCACAACTGCACTCTGCCAGCGCAGTGTGAGAGCAGCTATAGACAACACATAACTTACTGGGCATGGCTGTATTCCAGTAAAACTACTTATAAAACAAGTAGGTAGCCCACAGGCCATAGTTTACCACCACCTGATCTGTGCCAAAAGCTTCAATTTTCTGAAAAACAGAAATAAATATTATTAGAGTGTTCATTTAATAGATAAGTCTCATATAAATAGTTCATAAAGGCTTTAAAAATTCAAGCCTAACACCTTGGTGTATGCTGTAACCTTAATGATAAAAATTAGTTACCCTGTAAATATTTAAGTAATTATGGGAAAATGGCCCAGTGTTCTCAGTAATCTGCGTCTTTTAAAAATCCATATATTTTTAAATGATGATAGTCATATCATTATATAGTCATTTGACTCATTATAAAGTTAAACCATTCAATTAGCCCCTTTCCCAGTCTCATTCTCCAGAAATACTCACTTTTAATAACTGGTCTGTATTTTTTTAGATGTTCAAACAAGTAAATGAGGTAGTACTATGTACTGTTTTGCTATTTGTTTATTTATTTTTAAATACTTAGTTGTTTATATTTTAGAGACAGAGCCTTGCCCTGTCACCCAGGCTAGAGTACAGTAGTGTGATTATAGCTCTTTGTAACCTCAGGCTCCCAGGCTCAAGACAGTCCTCCCACATCAGCCTCCTGAGTAGCTGGGACTATAGGTGCAAGCCCCTACACACAGCTAATTAAAAAAAAAATGTAGAGACTGGGTCTTGCTCTCTTGTCCAGGGTGGTCTCAGACTCCTGGCCTCAGCAATTTTCCTGCCTCAGCTTCCCAAAATGCTGGGATTATAGACATGAGCCATAGTGCCTGGCATGTTTTGCTCTTAAAAAAATAATAAAATATCTACTTGTTTAATTAAAAAGAGAAAATATAAGAAGTATTTGTGGAAGATATTTTTAGATGGATGCAGTCTCAGTAATGACTCTCAGGATGACCATACTTTTCTGGCAGTCTGCTTAGTACTCTGAGGTGCTTTTGCTTTTCTTAGATTCTTTCCTTCCAACCTCAAAATACATAAGCACTTCTATATTCTATAGGGAGCTTATTTTTAGAACTGAAGATTTTTATAAATAAAAGTATTAAATAACTTCCCAGTTAGTGGGAGATCAGGGAAGTACACTTGAAATACCACCATCCCAAAATGTTAAATGTGTATATATTATAGATTATTTTATTATTACAAATAAAGTTTTAAAATTGATATCTCTGTTTTTAAAAAGGCAATGAAACAATACAGAAGTAGAACTTGTAATGTAAAAAAAGAAGTGAAATTTGCTCTTCCAAAGGGTATACATGTTTAAAACTTTGAAAGTCATTTTCACAAAGCTTGAACTGCTTTAATCTCTTGTTCTCAGTTTATGGGAGTGCCTAAACCAATACTTGGGCTCAGAGAATTTTAGAGATTTAGATGCATTTCAAATGCTCATTTACATTTGAAGTATTCATGTGAGAATTTTAGCTTTTTTCAATCACAGCAAAATAAAAAGCATTGAGTGAACATGAAGAATATAGACCTGATTGTTCCTATGTGTAGGTTTTTTTAAGTTTTTATAAGATATTTTTATAACAACATCACTAGCTAGTTATCTGATTCTTTTTCATGTAATCTGCACCTGCATGTGTTAGTTTTCTAGGGCTGCCCTAACAAAGTACCAACTGGATGGCCTAATAGAAATGTGTCATTTCATAGTTCTGAAGGCTGTCAGTCTAAAAGTGTGGTGTTGGTAGTGTTGGTTTCTTTCAAGGACTGCAAGTGAGAACCTGTTCCATGTTCTCTCCTAGCTCTTGTGATTTGCTGGTAATCTTTGTTGTTCTTTGCTTGTAGTTGCATTACTTTAAAGGCATTCTCCCTGTGTTTCTTCACGTCATTTTTCCTCTCTGCATATTTCATGTCCAAATTTTCCCTTTGGATAGGGCTACCAGTTATGTTTGATTAGGTCCCATTTAAGTGACCTCATTTTTACTTGCTTATCTCTGTAAAGACCCTAATTCCAAATAAGGTTACATTCTGAGGTACTGGGGGTTAGGACTTAAGCACATCTTTTTTTCGGGGATTGCTTTTAACCACGTTTAGAACATGTAGTCACTCAGACTCTTTCTACTGCATAGATACCCTTTTTTTTTAGTGACAAAAACAGGACAACGCATACCAAGGAAGGAAAGAATGGGGCATACAACTAAGCCACGGAAATGTTGGCTAGAAGTAGAGAACAAAAGTTCAAGATAGGAGGTAGTGTCCAGAATCTAGAAGGTTCACATAGGTATGGAGGAGCAACTCAAAAGGTAAAGGTTCCAAGTCTACAGATTAGACTGTAGGATACAGAAGATAAAATACTAACTAGTATTTTATAATCTGTAGAAGAATAGCACATTCATCTTTTGAGGATTTTATAGTCTAGCTATGGAGATAAAGCGTAAAAAATAGCAGCTGAAAATCTGAAAGATCAAGAGATGTCATATATGTTTATCAGTTAAATTTCAGTCTTAGAAGGGATAAAGCTTTTTTCAAGTTGAAATTGCTTTGAACAGGAAAAAAAAAAGGACAAACAAATGAGTAAAGAGATTTTTGAGTGTAGAATATTTACTGTAAGAAGGGGAAAATATTCACAAGAAGTATGAATGATCTGACTTTGGTCACTGACTTTTTGTTTTAGGTAGAAGTACAAGAATTGTTAGGTAAATTGTCACTACTCACATAGCCAGAGAGTAGTGAAGAGTTCTGTAGATAACCAATAGTCGTTGAGCAGAGCAGGACCAGAAGAACAAGCCTTACAGAGAAGTTTAGTAATGTGCTTTGTGCCTTCACTGTTACTCTATTTAGTTTGGTTCTAAGGTCATTGCTCTTTCATAGGTCACTTTCGTCTTTCTCCGTCCTTTTCCTACTCTTAAGAATTCTATGATTTTTTTTGTCATTCTTTTCTACTTCCTAAGTGATCTCTTTCTGCTGTGTATTCCATCAGTCCCTTAAGCATTTTCAATTGCTCTTTCAAATATCTTTTCTCCTCTGTTTTCTAATTTATTCAAATTGTTCATATTCTTTTACTTAAGCCTATTCTCTTTTAGTAACATGTTTCTCCCTCCATTGTTGTCAAGCAGTTCATATGAGTGTTTGAATCATTAACTTGTTTTGTTACTGTCCATTTCTTCTGAATCTGTTTTCACAAAGTTATTTAAATTCTGACTTAATTTTATTTTATTTTAAATTTTTTTGGATACATAATAGTTGTACATATTTATGGGGTACATGTGATATTTTGATACAGGTATACAATGTATAATGAACAAATTGGGCTAATGGTAATATTCATCACCTCAAACACATGTATCGGAAACATTCCAAATCTACTCTTCTAGTTATTTTTAAAGATTCAGTAAATTATTAACTATATATAGTTGCCCTATTGTGCTAACAAGCACTAGTTCTTGTTCCTCATATCTAACTACATTTTTGACCAATTACCAGTACTTTTTCCCCACTTCCTCCCTGCCCTACTCGGCCTCTGGTAACCATCATGCTATTCTCTGCCTCCATGAGATCAATTTTTAGCTCCTGAGGGAATGTGTTCTCTTTCCAGGTCCTTAAGGGGGCGTAGTTTTAAGGGCAAGAACTTCCGAGTGCCACGCTCCCCTCCCATCCCTGTCCATCGGGGAGATTTAACGATTTATGTTTAAATTTCGCAGGCATGGAAAAAAAGCTAAAGTCAATCACTCCAGTAAAAGTTCTGAAAAAACTCCTTTCATTGGCCCGGGGTCTTAAAGAAGGTGGGGGTTCCTCCCAGGTTAAAAGTCCCCTTCTCCCACACCCCTTTAAACTCCATGTTTGGGTCACCTTCCACAAACACTCCCTTCATGGAAGCCATCTTTCTCTCTCCTAAATTTCCCCTCTAAAGTCCCCTTCCACACACTCGTAAAAGCCTGTCTTCCCCTCCTACACTCCGTCTCTCTCTATTCCCATCCACTCAGTGTGGAAGCTGCTTTCCTCTCCTAAATTACATCTTTCTGGATTCTATCACTCAGTCTGAGAGTTAGCTGTTTCTTTCTGTCTCCTTCCCTGGTTTCTGTCTCTAAATAAGTAAATCACTTGCTACAAACACTTTTAAGCATTTACTGCACACTGCGCTGTGGTCCCCTGTCTCATTCTTAAAAGGGTAGAAAACCAAAAACCTAAAAAAACTACCCTCTCAGGGAAGCTAAGGGCACCCTAAACCCCTAAACCCCAATATAACACTTCCACTTAGGAGTAAGAATATGTGGCATTTGTTTTTCTGTGCCTGGCTTTTTTCATTTAACATAATTTCCTCCAGTTCAATCCATGTCATTGCAACAGACAGGATTTCATTCTTTTTTATGGTGTAATATTCCATTGTGTTTATATTTACCATTATCTATTGATAGACACTTGGGTTGGGGTTCTATATCTTGGCGACTGTGAGTAGTGTTGCAGTAAACATGGGAGTGCAAATACCTCTTCAGTATGTTGATTTCCTCTCTTTTGAATATATACTCAGCAGTGCAATTGGAAATTCTGTTTTTAAATTTTTGAGAAACCTCAAACACTACTGTTTTCATTAGTGGCTCTACTAATTCAGATTCCCACCAGCAATATATGAGAGTTCACCTGTCTCCACATCCTTGCTAACATTTATTTTCTGTTTTTTGGTAATAGCCATCTCAACTGGGGTGTTAATGACGTCTTATTGTGGTTTTGATTTGCATTTCTCTGATAATGCAAATTATCTCTCTGATAATTTCTTTAATGTTGAGCATTTTAAAAATACATCTGTTGGTCACCTGTATGTCTTCTTTTGAGAAAGATGTCTGTTTACATCTTTTCCCATTTTATAAATCAGAATTTTTTTTTATTTGCTGTCGAGCTGTTTGAGTTCCTTATATGTTCTGATTATTAATGCCTTGTCTGTTGAATACTTTGTAGATATTTTCTCTCATTCTATAGGTTGTCTCTTCACTGTGCTGAGTGTTTCCTTCTTTGTTGTGTAGGGGCTTTTTAGCTTGATGTGATCCTATTTATCCATTTTTGCTTTTGTTTCCTGTGGCTTTTGAGGTCTAACTCAAGAAATCTTTGACCACACCAATATTCTATCATGTTTCACTAGTGTTTTCTTCTAGTAGTGTTATCGTTTCAGGTCTTAAAGAGTCTTTAATTCATTTTGATTCCATTTTTTTTTAATATAGTGGGAGATAGAGGTCTAGTTTCATTCTTTTACATGTGGCTATCCAGTTTTCTCAGCACAATTTATTAAAGAGACTGTCCTTTCCTCAATGTATATTCTTGGCATCTTTGTTGAAAATGAGCTGATAGTAAATGTGCGGATTTATTTCTGGGTTCTTTGTTCTGTTCCATTGATATTTTTATCTGTTTTTATGCCAACACCATACTGTTTTGATTACTATAGCTTTGTAGTAGATTACCAAATTTTGAGATTTGGTAATGTGATTCCTCCTGTTTTGTACTTTTTGGCTCAGGATTGCTTTGGCTCTTCTAGTTTTTTTTGTTGTTGTTTTTCCATTTGAATTTTAGGATTTTTTTTTTTTTCTATTTCTGTATACTATGTCATTGGTATTTAGATAGGGATTTCATTGACTCTGTAGATCACTTTGGGTGGTATATTTAACAATATCAATTCTTCCAATCCATGAACATGAGATATCTTTTTATCTCTTTGTGTCTTCTTCAGTTTCCTTCGTCAGTGTTTTACAGCTTTCATTGTAGAGAACTTTCCCTTTTTGGTTAAGCTTACTTTTAGGCTTTTTTTTTGGTAGCTATTGTAAATGAGATTTCTTGATTTATTTTTTAGCGTGTTTGCTGTTGACACATGGAAATGCCCCTGATTTTTGTATGTTGATTTTATGTCATGAAACTGAATTCGTTATCAGTTTTAATAGTGTTTTGATAGAGTCTTTAGGTTTTTGTAAATACAAGATCACATTTTCTTCAGATAAGGACAATTTGATGACTTCTTTTCCAATTCTGATGCCTTTTATGTATGTCTTTTGTTTAATTGCTTTGGCTAGGACTTCCAGTCCTGTGATTGAATAAAAGTATTAAAAGCAGGCATCCTTATATTGTTCCAAATCTCAGAGGAAATGCTTTCAGTTTTCCCTGATTCAGTGTGTTGCTAGCTACAGGTTCATCACATATGGCCTTTATTGTTTTCTTCTATACCTAGTTCATTAAGAGTTTTTATTATGAAGAGATGTTGAATTTCGTTGGATGCATTTTCAGCGTCTATTGAAATTATGCAGTTTTGTCCTTGGTGATGTGCATATGTTGAACCATCTTGTATTTATCTCACTGGATCATGATCTTTTTAATGTGTTGTTGAATTCTGTTTGCTAGTATTTTGTTGAGCATTTTTGCATCTATGTTCACAAGTGATGATGGCCTGTAGTTTCATGTCTTTTCTGGTTTTTGTATCAGGATAGTGCTGGCCTTGTAGAATGAGTATTTGAAAGTATTCTTTCCTCCTCAATTCTTCGGAATAGTTTGAGTAGAATTGGTATTAGTTCTTTATATATTTGGTGGAATTCAGCAGTGGAGCCATTGGGTCCTGGGCTTTTCTCTCATGGGAAGCTTTTTATTACTGCTTCTGTCTCATTACTTGTTATTGGTTCTTTCAGGTTTTCTGTTTCTTCTTGGTAGGATGTATGTGTCTAGGAATTTATCCATTTGGTCTCGGTTCTCCAGTTTATTGTCATGTAGCTGCTCACAATCCCTAATCCTTGGAAGTTTTTTGGTATCAGTTGTAATGTCTCCTTTTCCATTTCTGATTTTTTTGGGGTCTTCTCTCTTTTTTTTCTTACTTAATCTAGCTAAAGACTTGTCAATTTTATTTTTCCAAAAAATGAACTTTTTGTCTTGTTGAGCTTTTGTTATTCTTTTTAGTCTCAATTTTATTTCTGCTCTAATCTTTATTACATATTTCCTTCTGCTAACCTTGAGTTTGGTTTGTTCTTGCTCTTCTAGCTCTTTAAGTTACATTAGTAGGTTATTTGGTCTTTCTACTTTATTAATATAGGTGTTTATTGCTATAAACTTTCCTCTAACTACTGCTTTTGCTGTATTCCATAGGTTTTGGTACATTGTGTTTCTATTTTTGTTTCAGTAAATTTTTTATTTCCCTAATTTCTAGATTGTTCAGGAGCATGTCATTTAATTTTCACATGTTAGTTTCCGAAGTTCCTCTCATTGATTTCTAGTTTTGTTGCACTGTGGTCAGAGAAGATACTTGATATTATCTTAATTTTTTGAACTTTGTTTTGTGGCCTAAAATATGGTCTCTCCTGGAGAATGTCCCATGTTCTGATGAGAAGAATAAATTCTGCTCTTTAAAAATATGGGACAGTTAATGGAACTCTTTATTGAATTCATGGCCACAGCTACAGCTAATTCCTGTTTATACTCTAAAGCTGATTATGGTAAGTAAAACTCCTTAGGCTTAGTTTGTGATAAATATCAAGTAAATTTTATCATCAGAATATTGACATCATTCTTCCTCTTTCCTTCCTCTTTTCTGGTAGATGGAAACAACAAAATACAAAAGTCCCCTTTGTGGTGTCACTGTCTCATTGAATAATAACATCATCCACTTAAAGGCCCCTTGCCATGGTGGGGTTTGAGATTTAATTTTTATCCTACTTAGAAAGTAATAATTTACTCTCTCACTATTTCATGGATACTGGCAAGAAGATATGGAGCTCCTAGGGTCAGAGACAAAAGACAAAAGACTTAATTCACTGTACAGAAAGCAGCATGGGCATCAGGATATATGCATTATTTCTGCTATTTTCCTGTGCTCTGCAGGGGTGGTACAGAGGATCCAAAATGAATTCTGAGCATGCATTGGGCTTGTGTTGTAGATAAGGAACACGAAGTTTGAGGAACCTTCTATTTTATCATCAGCCATAAGCATACTTGCTCTTTGTTCCAAGGGAGATATTACCTCATCCCTCAAATTTGATAGCTGCAAGTATAACCCTAAGAAATGTCGTAGGGAATGAATGGCTCAGGCCTTGTCTTCTTGACATACCCAGCAAGATGTGTAGGAGCATGAGACCCATGCAGGAGTATCTCCCAACAGCCAGAACCCTGACTATCATCTATAATTCTTCTGTTGCCCACTATATCTAATTATTTCCCAGATTAAACTCTTAAACTACTACTACTCAAAACCAGACCATCGTAATCCTGTCTTATTGCCACTACTGCCTTCTAATAGATTTCTGCTTCCTTTCCCTTCCCAGTCATGCCTCCCTTTTTCCCCACTATACAGAATAATCCTTCTAAAACAAAAACTGGCCACCACACAGAATCCTTAATGCTTCACTAAAAAGTTTAAATTCTTTAACGTGGTATACAGCCTGTTCATGATCGGTTGAATCTCATGTTTTACTATTTCCCTTCTCTTCTTTGCAGTCAAACTCTAGCGATAATAAGCTGTATTTATTCTGTAGGCACCCCTTCTATTCTTATTCTGTGCCCTTCTGAAATGTCCCTACTCCATGGACATGATCTGCTCTTTGTGATTATCCCAGTTATAGAATTTATTTCTCCACAACCTGTCTTAATGATTTTTATTTAGTTCTATCACTTTTTTGGCGAAACTACACTAAATTTTACTATCTTCAGTACTTTTCTAGAATTTGTCAAATTAATGCAGTGTATTATATGATCCAGTTTTTAATCAGTATAATCTAAAGCCTCATTGAATCAACATTTGCAGTATTTACTTTTATCTGATTGCTTCCTGTGTATGTTTTGTCTCTTAAATTAGATTGAACATTTCTTTTGATATGGTTAACATGACAGTTAATTGTTTTATACTTTAGATATTGTAACTTCAATTCCTTTGAGATTCATTATGAAGGGCTTATATATTGGACTGTGTTTTTATGGACATTAGTATTTCAGTTTACTAAATAAATTCTTGATAGGAATTTCAAGTTAGGGTCACTACAGACAACTAACACAATAGATGTTACTGACAGTGTCACAGTAAATCGTTTAAATATCTTTCAATAATGCCTTTTCCCCCTGTTAAATGACAAGTCCAAAGTCATTGATTTCTACCTAAACTACTTTTGTTTTCTCTTACTTTGTAGGCATATACTAGTGTCTCTAAGGCTTCACTTGGCCTTGCAGATCACAGAGAACTTGGAAAGATGATGAATACAATAATTTTTCATACAAAAATGGTAGATTCCTTGGTGGAAATGTTGGTGGAAACATCAGATCTCTCCATATTTTGGTATGTTGTAATTTTCTCAAAGTTTACCCAAGTTGGGATTTTGTGTCTATTTTTAATTCTCTCAAAGAGCAACTCAGTCATGTGATTTTTATTTCTTAAATTTTTTTGAAGAGTTGAAAACAGTCGCTTCAAATTACAGGCCCTTTTTTGCATGATTAGACTTAAGGCAAAAAAAATGTTGTGGATCAGGGTCAAATAGAACAAGTGATAGAAATTAAATACTTAGTAACTCCACTTTTATGGTATTAAGTTTAATATAAATATTAAGATGATGTGTGACTGCTTCCTGCATTGTGCTTCGCTCTCCTCTTTTGTAATATTTTTGTTATACTTAGTTTACTTTTCTTCCCTCTTTTTCTCCCAGAAAATGTGGTTCCCAATGGCTATAATTTGTTTTCTTAGTTTCTATCATAGTAGTTACTTAATAAATCTTTTAATGAATAAGTCAACTTGGTTGTGATCAGATTAATAAACAGTGGGGTGGCCAGGTGCGGTGGCTCACTCCTGTAATCCCAACACTTGGGAGGCCAAAGCGGGTGAATAACCTGAGGTCAGGAGTTTGAGACCAGCCTGGCCAACATAGTAAAACCCAATCTCAACGTCCTGGGAGGCAGAGGTTGTTGCAGTGAGCCAAGATCACGCCACTGCACACTGCAGCCTTGGTGACAGAGGCAAGACTGTCTTAAATACATACGTACGTACGTACATACATACATACATACATACATACCAGTGGGGCTAGGAATCAAACTCAAGTATTCTTGCTTCAGAGTTGTATAATATCAGCTCCGTTTATTGCTTCTTGGACTTTTTTTTTTTCCTTTAGGGAAGAGGACTGGAATAACCTAGTAGGCCTCTTGATTTCTAAAATGCTGAAATGATCTCAGTGGATAGTGATAGTAGTTTCTGTGTATTGGATAGAGATCATCATGAAAAGCTTCTCACTGCAGTTATTTTGGAAAATAATATAATCTATGTTGATTTGAGCAGTACGTTAGGAAGGCTTGAGTTAGCAGAATCGCAGAAGAAATTCAAATCACCAGGTAGAGAAAGCATACCTCTTAAAATAATGAAACACATTACGAAATACACTTTTTAGGTTTAGACACATCACACGTCAAATTTGCAAGAATTTTTAAGATTATTTGGAGCCCGAGACTACTGTCTGTCTAACACAAAGTCTACCTTAGGTAGAACACGGAACATTATATGTTTAGGTATGTTTAGCTATGCAAAATATCCTATTGCAAAAGAAGAATACAATAATTAGAAAGTCATATCCCCTTTCTTGGAACTGAAAGGACTTTGAGTAATGTTTGAAATTTGTAATTTTCAGTAATACCTAAATTTTTTTCATATTTTTTCGTAGTAGCATTCTATTTTGCCTGTCACATCAAAATAAAGAAATGTTTACTACTTCTGTTTGTCTTACTACTCTGGGATGTAAAGTGTCTTATTGACTCATATTCTTTTATATTTAGATTTAACATCTTCAATATAGATGCAAATTAAAACTGATGGCAGGCCAGGTGCCATGGCTCACACCTGTAATTTCAGCACCATGGGAGGCCAAGGTGGAGGATTGCTTGAGCCCAAGAGGTTAAGGATGTAGTGAACTGTGACTGTGCCACGGCACTCCAGCCTGGGCAACAAAATGTCCCTGTCTAAAAAAAGTTAAAAAAAAAAGTTGATGGCATATGATTACCCAGGCTGGTCTCGAATTCCTGGGCTCCAGTGATGCACCTGCTTCAGCCTCCCAAAGTGCTGGGATTATAGGTGTGAGCCACTGCACCTGGCCTTAATAATGGTATTTTTTTTTCCTGTTTATAGTGACTTAGCTGTAATGAAATTTGATGGTGTAAGAGGCTATATATATGGTTTATTATTATTTTTTAATTTTTGTTAATGTTATATAAAGAATATTTTTATTACTCTGGGATAATTATTGGTGTGTAAAAATACTTTGGGGGAAACATTCTCTTAAATAAATGCCACCAGTTATCTTTCATTCACCTGAATCAAATTAACTATAAGGTACTATATCAGAAAACTTTTAACTGTAAACATTGTGATTCTGATTTTTGTTTATATAGTTTTTATAGTCGTGCTTTTGAGAAGATGTTTCAGCAGTGTTTGGAGTTACCTTCTCAGTCAAGATACTCAATTGCATTTCCACTACTTTGCACTCATTTTATGAGTTGCACGCATGAACTGTGTCCAGAAGAGGTAATTACAATGTACTACTGTGAGTTACATGGTATGCAAAGTAAACTAGATCAAACCTGTAGCCAACCAAATTTTACAGTCATAAGTACCTAACTTAGCTTCCCATCGAATATATCTCTATGCAGAATCAGAAAAATGTTTGAATAGATATGTAGGCTTAATATATATATGGATAAATAAACACACATATAAGAACATATTATAAAGTCACTTGGAATTACCTTTTTTAAGATAAATCATGAGTCAGGTATTAATATCTGTGGAAAAGATCGATATAGTAATTAATTTTGTGTACTTAATTTTCCTCTTAAACTGTCATGGAAAGGACTCAAAAATTAAATGTTTGGATTACTGAATAAACATAAGTCAAAGAGAGATTCACTAACTTATTATGATTAAATTGTTAATAGATATATTAAACAAAATCCAGATTGACTGATATCTGTGGGATACACGCATGTGCATACACACACACAGTAACAGAGTAATTTAACTGCTTGGTAGTTTTATTGATGCCAAGTGTCTATGAGAAATGTATTCAGTGTTTCTTCTAATCTTTAAGAAATGTTTTCCAAGTGTCTATGAAAAATGTATTCAGCGTTTCTTCTAACCTTTAAGAAATGTTTTCTAAGTGTGATGAGAATATAAAGATTAAATAGTGTATTTCTTTATAATTTAACTTAGTGTTTAGTCCTTTTACTTAAAACTGCAGAACTTGTGGAAAAGGAATTTAGAGATAGCAGTAACATTGTCAATTTCTGTAAGTATTAGACAATATCTGTTGCAGATTGTATGCCAGTATTCCAGGGAAAAACCAACTTTGAGACAGAAGTTAGCTTACAGGAAGTTTATAGGGATTACTTTTAAAATTTATACCTGTGAGGATACTAATACCACCAATTTTAATAGATTTATACATTTTTTTAGATTTAATAGATTTTTTTCTCCCAAACTTGACACCTGAGATACGTTATTAACTGTTTCCTCACCATCAAATTTCTTTTCATTAAATTACCCATAAAGTACTTCTAATTTTATTTATATGTCATGTCCTGAATCCGTCCTCTTACTTTCCATTCCTATTATCATTTTTGCAGTTCAGATTTACGATACTCTTCATATGTACTATATATGGAGTTCATCTTTTGCTTGGATTACCTAAGTGGTCTCTTTGCTTCTGCCATTGTTCTCCTAAACTTTATTCTCAGCAGTGTAGCTGAAGGCTAGAGGTTGGATAATAGAGAGACTTGTAGGGCATGCTAAGAAACTGTAGTTTTTCTCCATTTCAGCATTTCTGAGCTATTGAAGGGGAGTAATGAAATCGGATTTGTATTTTAAATAAGTTTGTATCTGTAAAGAACAAATTCAAAGCAGTCTTAATTCAGTATTCTTTTTTTTAGGAAGAATTAATAGCAGAAGATATATGCCTTATCTTTCAGGAGTCAAAATTTGATTAAACAGAATATTAAGTGTTTATTAATTGAAATATTTTCTAAGGTGAACCAATAAATAGTTAATTGTATCAGGTTATAAATCTTTTTTTTGGTTTGACTTTCTATTAAAGTTTTATAGGGCATTTTAAATAAAATGCATTAGGTATCATAACAGATCTAGGAAAAGTTATTTTGTATGCTCAAGTATTTTTATATTTTATGTATTTTACATTCATCATAGAAATACTGTATGTAAGTGCCACATATATCATATGTATTATATGGAAGGTCAGGGTAGGAAAACTTTTAGAAATTTTATTTCTTTGTAAAATATTGCAAATATATGGTGTAAAAATTTACAGTGTTTTATACTCAATGTTCCAGTTACCATAGATAAGAAAAAAACACATCAAACGATTACAACCCACTAAAACTAAAAAGAGACAGAATCCTATAGCGATGGATGCATGGCCAGCTTTTTTTCCCTTCTGGGAGCAATGGGGTTCGATTTTAGAGATTTGAATGCCATGGACTTTGTATTACCAAATTGATTTCTCACCATTTTATTTAAATATTTGCGCTCTTCTTTCCTGTTTATACAATTACAAAGCTGTGTCACAATTTATACATATATATAATAGACCCAGATTTTGAATGAAATAAGATTGGAAACAGAACTCAAAATGTTTTCTTTCATATTATATGTTTACTATTTTAACATTTAAGAGCTAGATACATAGGACTTTGTGGAATTTGAAAATTAAATACATAGCTTTTCATGTTAAGCAAAATACTGATTTTTTTTCAAGACTCCTCCCAGTTACACATTGCTTTCATAATCACCAAGTACTTGATCTCGTTTATGTTCAAATATAGCATGGTTAGTTGTTACAAGAGGCAAAAGCACTCTAACATCTCCCACCCTCACTTCTTACTGCAGACTGTGCCTTGGACCTAATTTTTCATGTCTATTTAGAAGTTTTTTCATTCAAACTTATATTATTATTATTCTGCCTTAACAGCGACATCATATTGGAGATCGCAGCCTTTCCTTATGTAATATGTTCCTAGATGAAATGGCCAAACAAGCTCGAAATCTCATCACTGATATTTGCACAGAGCAGTGTACTCTTAGCGATCAGGTAATAATTTAAATGTTTCCAGCAGATAGGAAATGTGTGTGTGAAGGCAAGAAAATGTGCTTTTATCCATTTGTTGTTTTACTTTCCATTCTTTAGTTCCCACACTGTTAGTAAAGCCCGTACCTCTGCTGTCAAACTCCATTAATAGATATAATTTCTTAGATGTAAACTTTTTGGTAAGACTCTGCATACTGTTTGTATTCTTTCATCAGACATGTACAGTTTTTTTGTGTGTGTATTGTTAGCACCTGATTCTGCTATTTCATTGAAAGTTGTAAAATATCCTGTCAGTTGTTTTACATATATTGGTTTTGATACATTTTTTAAAAGATTTCCTCATCTACTACTCATTTATCCAGTGGTTCAATTTGTAAAGGAAAAGAAAATAAATGCCTATTCTTTGCCTTTATTTTCTAGGTGACTGATAAATTGTATTATTATGAACTCCTGGAATTAAGCATATTTGGTGATTTTCAATCCATTGTACTTATAATTCGTATTGAAGCTCAGACTGCCCCATCATTGGCTATTGGGAGTCCTTTTAGTCACTTGAGAGCTTTCTTGTTATCTGGTGTGACAAGATGTACCAGCCTCATCTTTTCACACCTAGAATCAGCTGCTGCTTTTAGTGGGAAATGGTATTTCAAGACCCAAATCTGGATATTAGAGATGCTTGTTGTTCTCACGTAGCCTCATCAGGATTAATTTACTCCCAGTCATTCATAGGATTGTACTGATATCTCTAATTCAAATTTAGGACTACCAGATTCTTTATCCTCTTCTATATTACATCAGTGTCATCTTTCTTCCTTATTGAGAATCTGGCTTTCAAGGACCCAGAAGATGGAAGAATTACAATTCTCATAATCACAGGTTTACTTCAAATATAAATGCATAATAATCTCAATAATATTAATTCTGCCACCAACATATAATTATTGAGAAAAGTTAAAAAAAAATTGCCCATTTTCTCTGCATTACTGCCTCTGTGTGTGTGTGGGTGTAGAGGGGTTGTACCATACTGAACTATGGGCATTACAAGTTCTACCCCTAGAAACATTCATTTACTCTTTCTGTACAAATGTTTGATGCTCCTAGCTGCTTAACATGTTGGTTATCTCTCTAGTGATTGTAATCCTCCGAAGCTCATTCTCTATCAGCAGACTTTTTTAGTAAACGGCTAGAAAGTAGATATTTTAGGTTTTGTGCAACACATGGTCTCTGTCCAGTTACTCAACTCTGTCATTATAATGGAAAAGCAGCTATAGACAGTATGTGAACAAATGAGTGGCTGTGTTTCATTAAAATTTTTTCAAAAATAGATGGTGAGCCAAATTTTGCCCTGTTTTTCTATTTAGCATTAATAAATACTATTGTTGGATATTCCAGATTTGCTGACTCTATTCCCCCCGCCCCCACTGCCATTTACTTGTATCTTCTCTTTCGTCCGTCTGTGTTGCCCTTATCTTGGTCTAATTTTGATTTCATTTCCAGCAGTTTTTCCCCAGCATGGGTACTGTCTTGGTAGAGGGTGCTGGCTGATCATTTTGACAGTTAGGACTAAACTGTTGCAGCCTCATCAAACCTCAAGAAGCCTTACTGTAGGCTCTTGAGTTCTCTATACTTCAAGTGAATACCTAAGGCTCTTGCAGGATTCCCTTTCTCGTCTTCAGGTTCCCTGTTGTTTCTTTCTGCTCTTCCATATAGGCACTATAAATCTTGTGTGGTTGGTACTTTTTTGTTGCCTTTCACTTGTATTTTGGGGGTTGTGGAGATACTTTGAAACTTGATTTTATAGTCAGTGTTATTTGTGGATTTTGGTTTTATGCTCTAGTAGTTCTGTCTCTTGTGATGAGAGTTATAGATATTCAACACTCTGCTCTCCTTAATATTCTTGAAGCTGCAAATTTCCGTAGAAATTTTTATTTTAGGAAGGGACTCCTTTGTCACAATACAAATGCGATATAATTTCTTATGTACTTTTTTCCCAAATATAGTTCAATCCCATGGCTTTAGTTACCATCTAGGTATAATGACTAAATAACTTTCTTTGGCCCAGTACTGTCCAGTAGAAATACTATGCAAACCACATATGTAATTTACAATTTTGTTGTAGCCACACACAAAACTTGAAACAGGTGAAGCTAATTTTAAAAACTTTGATTCAACCTGATATACCCCAAAATATTATTTCAGCATGTAATATTAATGAAATATTAGATAGCTTTTATACTAAATCTTTGAAATCTGGTGTTTATCTTACAAAACAGCTGAATTTGAACTGGGCACATTTCACATATGGCTACTGCACAGTGAAGCTCTCCTTCTACCTAAAATGTTTTCATTTCTTGATTGCCCACTTTGTTACCTGTCACATGAAATCAATTATTTCTCATTTGTCCCTGTTTTTTTTTTAAATTAGTGGTCTTAACAATGTGTTAGGTAGAAACCTCTGTGTCATATTTGATTCCCTCTTTTCTCACATATCTAAGTTACTGAATCCTTTCAATTTTATCTCGGAAGTCTATCTCAAATCTGCCCATTAAACATTTATTTATTACATTTGCCTATTTCGTATCTTTTTTCATACCTTGTCTGAACTATTTCTAGCAGCTTGTTATAATTTTCTTTTCTGAGTGTTGTCTTCTGACAATGTCAGGGTTAGCTTTAGAAAATACCTCCTCATGGCCAGCACGGTGGCTTATGCCTGTAATTCAGCACTTTGGGAGGCCAAGACAGGCAGATTGCCTGAGGTCAGGAGTTCAAGACAAGCCCGGCCAACATGGTGAAACCCATCTCTACTAAAAATACAAAAAAGAAATAATAGTAGCTAGGTGTGGTGGTAGGCGCCTGTAATCCCAGCTGCTCAGGAGGCTGAGGCAGGAGAATCACTTGAACCTGGGAGGTGGAGGTTGCAGTGAGCCAAGATTGTGTCATTGCACTCTAGCCTGGGCAACGAGAGCGAGACTCCGTCTCAAAAAANAAAAGAAAAGAAAATATCAAACTGTTGCTGTCTTTTTGCTTTCAGTTTACAGTCCAACCTCTGGCTTGACATTCAAGGCCCTTCCTAATAGTTGAAACCTCTGTATTTCACCTTACATGCTATGCTCCACCACCTAGTAGTTCTCACTACAGCTCTGAACCATGATGTCTTTACATAGTTTTTTTCCAAAGGCCGTTTAATCCTTCCAGTGAAATGTTCTTTTTCATTCCTTGCTTGCCTGGTGTGTTTTACTTGTCTTTTTAATAATAATTTAAATAAGCCTCCATGAATTTCCTCTATGAAGTGTTTCTTCACTCAAGATTTATCCGTTTCTGTTTTCCACCAAAGCTGTGTGCATTACCCAAGCTAGCTAACTAAGCTCTATATCTCACTTATATTTCTGTCCTTTAATACTGTTGTGATATTTGCAACATAGCCTGGATTCAGCTAATATTTGCTTGGGTAGTTAATATGCATTCAGAGTAATTGGTATAATGTAAGATTTCATTCTTTTCTAAATTTAGTTGCTGCCCAAGCATTGTGCCAAAACTATCAGTCAAGCAGTGAATAAGAAATCAAAAAAACAGACTGGTAAGAAAGGGGAACCTGAAAGGGAGAAACCAGGTGTTGAGAGCATGAGGAAAAACAGGCTGGTTGTGACCAAGTAAGTGTCCACTTATATTATACCTTTTTGCTCCAGGTAAAATATTTATTTCATTTTTTCTATGACATTAGTACTGAGGAAATGCTAATAATTGTGTATTCTTCATTTTCCAGCCATTTTAAAAAATCTTTCAGAGCTTAGTTAACTTGTTAGTTGCTTATTCCTCTCAAAATACAGATTTTGGCCTTTAGAAGAAAATATATGTAATAGGTGATTTTTGTCATTTTATGCTAAGTACCGAAGGCCAATTATATGTTTAAAAATTTTTGTATAGTACATTATAAGCAATCTAATTTTTAATTTATTTAAAATCAGATAGCTGAGACTTTATTTTGGCATGTTTGTGACATATTAGAACATACCCAATGTCATTATTATAAAACAGCAATAACAGACCAGGTAGCATTCAGGGATTTTTATTTGCTTGTTTAATTATTTGGAGGAGAGGTATAGGTCGATAATAACTGGGTGAATATTTTTTATTTAAAGTAAATTTCCTAGTTTCTTGCTAAGTTGAGTAAGCCATTGCCCTTTTATAGACAACTTTCCTTCTCTCATAACAGAAAGTACTACAGGAATTGGAAGTGGTTGTCTTTATGAGTGCAGGATAAGTTTTACCTATTATATATTAAGTTAGTAAAGTCATTACTACCTAAAGGTAGAAATAAATTATGACATCTTTAGAATATTGCTCTTCAGTGTTAGTTATACCCTTAAAGATTTTGAACTGTCTCAAAAAGTTCAGATATTAAAAAATCAAATTCTGCAAATATTATCTCCAAATAAGGTTGATATAGTTATAAAATTAATTCTGTATTGCCTATGTTGACATGAACATTTTACTTAACAGTCTATTAATATTTTTTCCAGCCTTGATAAATTGCACACTGCACTTTCTGAGTTATGCTTCTCTATAAATTATGTACCAAACATGGTGGTATGGGAACATACCTTTACTCCACGAGAATATTTGACTTCTCATTTGGAAATACGCTTTACCAAGTAAGAAAGAATATTAACTGTTTTTGTTTCTTGACTCAGTAATGAATTTGTTATTTAATTGTTAATGTCTGTACAGTGTTTTCTTTTATAAGGAAAAGCATTAGTAGAACTGGTTGTTAAGAATAATGAACTGAAAATTACTTAAAATACCAAGATTGTTTTCTTACACCTATTAGTATTAACTAGTAACACCAGGCAAGCCAGTTAATATCTCTTAAGTCATAGCTTCCTTATATACAAAGTGAGAAGATTGGAGAAAATCAATGTATTTCAGCTTGCAGGCGGCAACCCATTAGGGTCATAAGATCAGTTTATAAGGTTGTAGTCAAAGTTTAGAGAAAGAAGAGGGAGGGAAAGAAAGGATAAGAGGAAAAAAAAATAGGGGGGAAAAAAACCGCAATACGCTGAGTGCATTAAGTATGCATATTGCTTTGTGAAGCATTTTGTTGCATATATGCATGTGTGTTGACTTGCAGTGTTAAGATGCATGTCTTGCAGTAGGTCACGGTGAAATGTTTGAAAACCTGAGGATTAGATGAACCCTTACATGTTTTCTGAATTCACATGTTGCTGTTAAATAAGCCAATAGAATTCTAGATTCTTGAGGTCTCAATTCTAATTAGAATTTTCTAAGTTAAATATGAATATATATTTTGTGTATGTATATGAAATAGTACATTTATAAGTCAGAAACCTTTCAACTTTATAGATATTGCTTTAACTTTTTTCTAAAGTTGCATACTTATTTATTAATATTTATTAATAAAAATGTTTGACAATTTTATTTCTTCAAAGCCTTGAAGCAATTTATAAAACAAAATTTTGCCAAAGGGTTTTCAAAGTTCTGTAGTCATTAACAGGTGGTATTTGTATTTGCACCATATGCTTAACATTGTGTTAAGTACTCTAGATAATAATATAATAAAGATAGAACTGTGGTTGGTGAGATACAACTAAAATAATTAGAGAACAATATGACAGTATATAAATTGGCACTAAGTTCAGTGTTAAATTATCAGTTGACTTGCGAAGAGTCTGGCAGTGAACTGTCTTTTGTTCTCCTTGGTAAGTCAGGCATCCTCACAGTAAAACCCAGAATGCCCTAGAATTTAGACCAAAGGGACATTGTGCCTTGTGGTGTTTATTATTCTCAAGTGGGTAGAGGTGGGAGATTGATGAGTGGAAGGGGTTCAGTTTACGGCTCCCTTGTAAACAGTCTGCTTCATTAATCCACAGAGAAGCAGTTTTTTTTTTTTTTTTTTTTTTTTTTTTTTTTTTTTTTTTTTTTGAGACCACATTTTGTTCTTTCGCCCAGGCTGGAGTGCAGTGGCATGATCTTGGCTCACTGCAACCTTTACCTCCTGGGTTCAAGCAGTTCTCCTTTCTCAGCATCCTGAGTAGCTGAGACTACAGGCATATGTCACTATGCCCAGCTGATTTTTGTATTTTTAGTAGAGATGGGGTTTCGCCATGCTGGCCAGGCAGATAGCGTGTGAATATTAGTGGGTTGGTTTTTGTCAATCACTTGAGCATAGTCTAAGGATTTAGGGATTACACACTAGGAAAGCAGTTTTCGTCTTGAGTCACATCTTCTTGGCCTGTTTCTAGTGATGGGATTTGTCGGTTGTCTTTAAGGATCCATCTTTACAAATATAAGTCTAAGATCTTTGCAGATCTAGTGCTTAGGAAATTTTAAAGAAAGTGAAATAGGGGTGGCCAGTGTAGGATAAGATCATTTAGGGAAGTACTTTCAAAATTTGTGTTTCCATTTTAGTCTTATACAGTTGAGATATAGACAGAACTGTATTTTATGTACTATGAGTGATTAAAGAAAATAGAGTTGCTTGTTGCCTTATTTTGTTTGCCTGTCATAGAGTTTGTTGAAAGGCAGCACCAAGTGAGGCAGCTCTGCGATGAAATCTTAGTCGTAATCACTTCCCAACAAAACCTTATCAATTTGTGTGAATCCTGAGCTTTATTTTTTTTTTCCTCTGGGAAATATAGTGATAAGTACATTGTAGGTTTATTAAATGTGAGGATTGTAGGTAATTTATTTAAAGCCTCAAAAATTACTGGCACCTAACAGTGTCAGATAAACTCAAGCTGCAGACGAAATAGTTCATTGTCCTTGCTACAAACAACTTACCACGTTAAAGCAATTTTTAAAACCCTCTTTATAATTAAATCATTTTTGTTCCTGATATTCGTAGAATGTTTTAATCATTTGTATTCACATTTCATTGTAGTTTTTAAGTTTTCTTTT